CTCTCTCTCTCTCTCTCTCTCTCTCTCTCTCTCTCTCTCTCTCTGCCTCTGCTACCCTCCTGGCTCCCCTCCCCATGCTCTGAATAAACTCTATTCTATGCTATACTGGTGTGTGACTGGTCCCTCAGGGGGAAGAGATGGCTCGGCATGGGCCCGCTGAGACATCCCTTTCCATCTTTGGCGCCTTCCATCACATGTACCCCAGGATTGCTATGAGTGTGGCCAATCCCAAAGTCATCAATTTGTTTTACATAGTATGCATTCTTTGGTTTTGTTTTGACACTGTTGTATCACAACACCAGGAGGTTGGACAAGTCTAGATGTGAAATAGTATTAATAAAAACAATAAGCCCTAAATTCAAAATACAGTTTCTTTGTATGAGAAATAAGAGGAGAGAGAGGGAGGGACTGAGGGAGAGAAGGAGAGGGAGAGGGAGGGAGAGAGAGAGAGAGAAAGAGAGAGAGAAAGAGAGAGAGAGAGAGAGAGAGAGAGAGAGAGAGAGAGAGAATGATTAAATGAGTTCTAGAGTATAACTAGAAGAGTGTGTGTTTATTTATTTGTTTGCTTGTTCATTTGACAGGGTCTCTTTGTGTAGCCCTGGCTGTCCTGGAACTCATTATGTAGACTAGGCTGACCCTCAAACTCACAAAGATTCATCTGCCTCTGCTCCACTTCCAGTGAAATGATCCAATTTAAAACATATTAGATTATACTAAAGGCAGATTTATTGGGAAGCTGCTCTAAGGCAAATTCACTGGCCCCAAGGATTGAGGCCAGGGGAGTCAACATGGGGAGGGGTGGGGGAGAGGAAAAAGAACGTGCATACAGAGAGAAGAGGGGATGGAGAAGGGGAAAAGGGAGGGGGGAGGGAAAGTGCTTAAAAAAACAAACAAAAAAAATAGTCTGGATTACATAGGGAGGAGCCTCTGGGGGAAGGACAGCCCAGCTCCTGATCTGGAAAGTTAGGTTTAGAGGCAGGGTTTGTCAAGTAGGAACTGAGGGATGCAGGGAGAACCTGGAGGCCAGGTCTGCTTTGATATGTAAAATATGTACCTCAATCCCTTGACCCAGGTTGAAACCAGTTAAGAGTTTCATTGTATTTGTAATGTTTTATATCTTATGTTAGACATGTATATGTGTATTTGTAGAGGTTTTAATAGTTTGAAAAAAAACAATGTAATGCTGAGATCTGAGAATTATAATTATGGTTGGTTCCTTGCTTGTAAACTATATTTACATTGAGGATTGATCCCTGCTTTGTGGCTTTTGAAAGTAGCCTGAGACCCTGAGAAAGAGATCATGTCCAGCGTGACTGGGAAAGGCAAAAAGGCCACTTAACTCACCTCATAAATACAAACGGTCCTTTGAAAATCCAAACTATAGAACCCAGTGGTATGCCTGAGACCCTCAGGTATTCTCATTCCAAACTATCTCTGGAGTCCAAGAGTGTTTGTTTTGCTAAATAAACTGGTATTCAAACTGTATGTGTATTCTGGCTGAAGTCTTCCCTTGGAAGAGTTAAAAATGGAGAATGGAGAAGAAATGGCTACTCGGCTTAAACAAACAAACAAAAAACATTGGGAGACCCTGAAATATAGCAAAGTTCACAAGAGAGAGCCCCAGAGTGTTGTTGAAAATATATTGACTTGAAATTCATGTGTATCCCTAATCTCCACTGAATCAGTTCACATGGATTGCAGATTATTGCCAACCAGAGGCACACCCAGTATGAACAGAAACGGAGTGGCAGGCTGCTGCAGCCACACCCACAGATGTTACTATCTGTGGCTTTGTGATGGTGAGTACTTGGCAGTGCTTTGGACATAGCAAATGCTTAATGTGAGGTTATTGAATAAACAGATGCACAAACAAATACAGAGAAAGAACGACTTAAGAGGAAAACTCAGCCTGTGCCACCATTACGCCAGTTTAAGAGGCAGCCCGAAGACCGTGGTAGTATTATCTGTTCCTAGTCATCTGTTCCTAAAGTTCCCTCGTGCTTGTCCCTTGTGAGGCATAGAGAGTGACTTTTACCCACGTTACTACGTGGGTTACAAAGGCAAGTTTGGTCATGAGTTCCTGGAGTTTGAATTCCGATCTGACTGTAAATTGCGATATGCCAACAACAGCAATTACAAAAATGATGTCATGATCAGGAAAGAGGCTTATGTACATAAAAGGGTGATGGAAGAATTAAAGAGAATTATTGATGACGGTGAAATCACCAAAGAAGATGATGCTCTGTGGCCCCCTCCTGATCTAGTGGGCCGGCAGGAGCTTGAAATTGTCATTGGAGATGAACACATTTCTTTTACAACAACAAAAATTGGTTCCCTTATTGATGTCAACCAGTCCAAGGATCCAGAAGGCTTGTGAGTGTTTTATTATCTTGTCCAGGACCTGAAGTGTTTAGTCTTCAGTCTTATTGGATCACACTTCAAGATTAAACCAATCTAAATTGGATATTGTGGACACAAGGCGGGTGGGAGGTTTTAGTTACCGTAATTAGGAATTTTTTTTTTGGTATATTGGGGCAATTTTTATAAGCAATAAATGATGGTCTTTAATAAATGTGAAAAAAAAAAGAGTAAAACTCAGAGGAAGAATCGCTGAACAGTGCTCTAAATTTGGAATCCAGAACTCAAGAGTCCCTGGCCTGGTTCTAATCACTCTCCTCTGGCTTTGAAGAGAGGGCCATGTTTCTTTGCCATGCCGGATCTCTCTAATCCTAAACAGGAATGAAGAGTGTTGCTGCTTTCAGCTCTGGTTTGATTTCACTGATCATTAATTCTCTCCTAGGAAGCTAGAGAAGGGCAGCTCTTCCCACACAGCTGGTCCGAGTTCAGAAAGTTCCGTAAATAGACTTCACTGCTAAATACTCAAGGACATTTCAAGATGAGCTGTGTTTCCATTTTTACTTTCTCAGAGATTCCTTAAGTATTGAGGATAGCATTTGATGAATGATAGTTCTGAGACTATTTTTAGTTTCCTTAACTGGCTTAAGCCTGTTCCATGTTCCATCCCCACTCTGGTATCTGTGCCTCTGCCCTCCGCCCTGAACAGGTGTGAGCATGTTCACTGAAGATTCACTTTCACGCTTAGCTGAGTCGGTGTTATCTTCCCAGCATCAATTCTGGGCAATTGTGCGCTTGTGGAGGGGGTTCATCTCAGGATGCTGACATCACTTCTGGTTGAATTAAGTTCTTCTGAGCCCTCCCCTGGGAAGGATGAGAGCAAGTGCTGGCTTCCTTATCCATCTGCTCAGTCAATACTGAACCAGACTGGCCAACTTGTTATGTATGGCATTAGAGGAAATATTCCAGCTAACATGGAAGGAGATCAGACTGAAAATAAAGTACCTAAATGTGTCAGAAAAATGAGAACAACAACAACAAAAACAACAAAACAACTTAAGATAAGGGTTGATCTTTTTTTATATTTTTGTATTAGACCAAATGTCAAGTGTGGGGCTTGAATAAGAATGGTTCCCAGAGGCTCATGTATTAGCATGCTTGCTCATCAGGGTGTGGTACTATTAGGAGGTATGGCCTTATTGAAGTAGGTACAGCCTTGTTGGAGTAAGTGTGTCTCTTGGGGTGGGTTTTGAGGTTACTGAAGCCAAGCCAGGCCGAGTGTCTTTTTCTTTCCGATGCCTACAGATCTAAATAGAGCTTTCAATCTCCTTCTCCAGCACCATGTCTCCCTACATGCTGCCATGCTTCCCACCGTGATGACAACGGACAAAATTCATGGAACTGTAAGCAAGCCCCAGTTAAATGTTTTCCTTTATAAAAGTTGATCATGGTGTGTCTCCACAGCACTAGAATACCAACTGAGACAGTTAGGAGATCAGGTTTCAGCTGCCCAGGTGCAGGCCACACCAGTCAGCAAAACAGATGAGACACCTGCTTTTCCATGGAAATCCCTTATTCCCTAGATCCTAGATTTGGTTCCCCAAAAAACCATTCCATAGCCACAGCATCACCACCTCCCCCATTCTCTCCTATTCCTCCTCACATCCCCCCCTCTCCCTCCCCCCCTGTGCTGCCCACTGCTGTGCCCCTGGCTCTAACTCAAGTGGATTCCTGCTGCTCAGGTACAGGCCACACCAGTTAGAATAATAGGTGAGTGTCCCACCTATTGGCAGAACTGTCTCATTCCTTAAATTTAGTTCCCAAGACCCATTCCACTACCCTGCTCCCATCCTCCACTACTGCTGCCCCTGGTCCCAACTCTCTCCTGCTTAGGTGCAGGACACAGCATTCATATGAAACCTTCTGCCAGTGGACCAGTCCCACTCCCTAGATTCAGTCCCCAATGACCCATTCCACTGCCCATCCCCTATCCTGCCCCACAATCTTTCCCTTCTGCTGTTGTGCCCTGGGCCCCAATGCTGGCAGACTTCCATTGCCCAGGAACAGCCCACACCAGTCAAACTACAAACAGGTGTAAGTCAAGCAAGTTAGAAAAACAGGTAAACTCAGGCAAAGACTCTCTGCTGGACCATATACCACACTGGCAGCCAGAAACACAGATTGGTGCCCACCAGTGGACATCTTCTATTCACTCGGTACTCACAACTCCTACTCCCCTCCTGATCACCTTATTATACTCCCCAACTAAAGTAGAGATCCTCTGATGCACCAAAGACTAGCTGTCAGAAGGCTAGCCCCCAACTTGGACAGAAACTCTCTATTGGATCAGAGATCATGCTAGCTGCCAGAAATCCAGGCCACAAAGACCAGAAGACCAAGGAGGAAACAGAAACCAAGGATTAACACACTCATCCAACAAAGACAAACTCAAAAATCAGAACCTAGACCTATAATCATCCCAAACCCAGATGCCTAAATGCCAGCATAAGAACACAACAGCCAGGGCAATATGGTACCACCAGAACCCAGCTAGCCTATGACAGCAAGACCTGAATATTCCAATACAGCTGAAACACAAGGAAACAATCTTAAAGCCAACTTTATGAAAATGACAGAGGTCCTTCAAGAGGAAATGAAAATGATCCCTTAAAGAAATAGAGGAAATGACAAATGAAAAAAAATGGAGGAAATCAATAAATCCCTTTTAAAAAAATTCCCAAAAAGCAAAGAAAAACAAACAAGCAGGCAAAGGAAATGAATAAAACTTTTCAAGACTAGGAATGGAAATAGAAGCAATAAAGAAAACACAAACTGAGAGAATCCTTGAGATGGAAAACCTAGATAAGGGATAGGAACTAACTACACAAGCATCCTCAACAGAATGCGGGAGATGGACAAGAGATGTAGCCGCCTGAGGCCACGGTCGAACTGGGTTCACCTGAAAGGAGGGCTGGAAATGCAAAAGGAAGACGAAGAGGCGAGAGAAGCATGAAACCAAGACAAAATTTTCTGATCAAGGCTCGAAGTTTAATATTCAGCTCTTCTATTTAAAGGGAAAGCCCCACAAAACCCATCCTTTGTTTCAACCAGAGATGTGTCAAGACAAGCTCAGCAGGCAGTCTATTCTTCTAAGTTCCTGTAGGAGGTTGTACAGGCAGCCAAGGTGGGTAACTCCACCTAGGTCCTATTATTAGGTCTAAATTAACAAGGTCTTTCTGGCATGCTCAAGGCACAAAGAGACTTTCAGGCGTAGATACAATAGAAGAAATTGATGGTGCTGAGATAACACCATAGGACCACTGTGTGAGTCGCCATGACTCCTAGAGCTGCATCCTAGGCCAGGAAGAAGAGTAGTACCTGCAGAGTGGAGACCCACAGCTGATTTGCCATGTCCTGCTGTATTTCCTTCTCATCAGTGGCATATCTACTGATCTCTCTAGTTGTTTTTGGTGGTGATTCAACCATGAGACCGGATGACTCCATGCTAAATTACATTTTCTTTTGTACAGTGTTTAACTTTGGCCAGGGATTCATTTCCATTGGAATCTTAGGGTTGCAAAAACATTTAACCATTTTACTTTTCAAAAGATGTCATTGCTGATACAGAACTTGTGAATGCCCAAACAATGAGGAAGTATATGATGGAGATATGGGAGAGAAAGAGAAGCAGAATGGTTTGTGCTCTCTCAAGAAAGGAGGAACGGGAAACGTGAGAGTGGTGAGGAAGAGCCTGATGTGAGTAGCCTGTGCAGCCACCTGAGGCCATGGTGGAATCCCCATTCTGGGATGCTGCCAAGGGCCATGACCATGCAGTAGCAAGAGTCTTGTGTTGATTTTGGCCCATGTTACCACCAAAGGCCATGGGATATCCCTGGTTTGGGCTGCCCAAGGCCCATATAGATGTCTAAGAGATAAGCAGAGTTGACCTACCCTTCACCAGGGCAATGTTGGAGAGATGGTGTTAGTAATCTGTTAAACTCCACCTCCACAGTCACCTGGCAATAGCCAGGTATGCTCCTCCCCACAGTTACCTGGCAACAGCCAGGTAGGCCTGCCCATTATAAAAGGGGCTGCTTGCCCCCTCCTCTCTCTCTTACTCTTGTTCTCTCTCTTGTTCCCCTTGACCCAGCGCCTGCAGGTTGCTGTCCCCCCTTTCCCCTCCCCTTCCCCCTCTCTCCACATGGCCAGCCTTTACTCCTCTACTCCTCTCTCTCCTCCCAATCTCCCTCTCTCTTAATAAACTGCCCCTCATGGAACCGTCTAGTCTGCTGTGATCTGTTACAAGCTGCTCGTGAAAAACTTTCATTTGGTGCTGAAACCCAGGAATACGAAGACTTTGGGGACCTCTGGCTGCTGTGACCAGACAGGACGGATGAAACACGCCCACATATGGTTCCAAGAAAGATTTCTTGAGCTAGATCGAACTCTAACCTTCCCTGAACCTCTCTAGGACGGCTCCCCTTGGATGAGATACTTCTCCTCTTCCTCTTGAGACAGTTTCTCGTGGCTGAGTACCCCAGGCTAGGCCTGGACCGTGATTGCCCCCCTTGGATGGGACACTTCCCCTCTCCTCTCAAGACAGTTTCTCGCCGCTGAGTACCCCATGCCAGGCCTGGACAGACTGTTCTCTCTGCCTCAGGAGCACCGCCTCCGACCATACTCCACAGTGTGTCTCTTCCACGGGTGAGCCTTTACTGTTTTCTCCCAGGAGCACTGGCTCCCCCCTTCCCCCCCCCCTCCAGTGTGTCTCTTCCAAGGGAAAGCCTTTCATGCCCTTTTCCCTTCACCTCCTTCGTCATTTGCAGGTCAACTGGAACCTCAGTTCCAGCGCCTTGCCTGGAAAGCAGCAGCCTGTCCAGGACTCTGCTTGCTCCCTCCCCACCTTTGCCTTCTCTGCGGCCAGTCAGTCAGTTCGCCTGGTTCCTTCCCTCTGGGGTTCTTAGCTCTGCTCTGGGTCTTCCCCTTACATCCTGCTGCCCGGGACCTGTAAAGTGTTAGTGC